TTYSYTTYMRRAAAWWMYTTTKKTKRRAWKKTTTTTTTTTAAGYCAACGCGTCAATTGAGTGTACACAACTGAGTAGAGGTCTTAAGMCTCACCTGATACCTTATTTGATTAAAAAAATGASTAATTGTTCGGTTGYTTCACCTTGMAGGGACCTGATCACGTCTCCAGCTGTTGTGACGGCTAGTTACCACTAAAGTGTAAGCWCCAGAGTCTGACGTCATGTCACAAAAGACTGRCAGATAACTCGAGTCGTTGAGTAATCGGATCATATAGAAAGCATCCCTGAAGGACACCGATTTTCTTACGCCATGGACTTTGATATCAAAGCATGTCCGTCTGAAAAAAGTATCGTACAAGAATTACTATTAGTTGATGAAATGGAATTCAGCTCACTAGTAACAAGTCTTCATAGTTATCTACAGAGGATATCACAAGTTAGTGTACTGAGTTGGCCAAGCCAGAGAATATGTCCGTATCTATAAATTCTACCTTGTTCCTTCTCTCATCCAATATCTGACAATACCAGGATTGGGTTTTATTGATGGCAAGTATGAAGGAGAAGCATCAGAACCTTCGTTAAAAACAATGGAACCAGATGCATTTTCAGCTGTAGAAGCAGTGCTTAAGAATATAGACGAAGACAGCCCAAGTCTTGGCATGCGTTTTGCCAGATTTGAACTTGCGCCTATGCTATTRAAGTTTTCTACTAGTTTAACGTCAGTTTGCTTGTCATTGGCGGATGTGAAAGTGTATTCTCTTGGAGCATCAAAGATACCGCCATATTGGTTTTTGCCATCGGCTTCGATTCGATACTGGAAGAAATCCTGGAAAACATTGATATAAAAATTCTTCAAAACATAGTAACGGTTCAATCTTCCTTCTCGATTGATTGAAAGATGATCTTTTTAGTTATCGGAAGTGAAGTACTTCAAAGAATATAAAGTGCATTTGTTTGCTGTTTGTTCTCAGTATATAGCAAATGCTTCCTAATCTATCTTTCTGTCAGCTTTAATACATGTTTAATATAAAAAGCGATACTTACTTGGGAGATATCAAAATCTTTAATGGCATCACCAACTCCAAGAATCGAAAAATCACCATTTACAGATGGTTGATCAGCATTTCTAGATTTGACATTGTTAGAAGTCCATCCTGAGTGCGTTTTACTTGTCATCAACAATGTCCATCCTCCACCTTGACTTGTTAGATCACAGAACGTTTTGACTGGTTGTTTACCAGGAGGTTTGATAGTRTAAATGCCATCTGAAAATAATTTTTTGTTCTCTTACTAYGTTAAAACAGTGATTTTAAAAAGGTTTGGAAGTAACAGCATGTTGTCATTCAAAGCTCATTTGTAATTCTTTTTCCAGCAATCATCGCTTCCTTTAGGCTAAGATTGGCTTTCACACGACGTCGTATGTGTCATATTGGCTTCTGGCGTTATTTACGTAAACATGTCTGCCAAATCTATTTTTTGCATTGCGCAAATGAATTGAGGTTTTGTCGTGTGAATTAAGACTACCAAATGCACTGGCAATTCTTACGCCATCCACGAAAAGATCATGACCAGTTCGACACTGATTCGAAGGTTTAATTATATTTTACCTTTGAATAGAGCTGCTCGGAATCCTCGCATCTGTATTTCCATACAAGACCTTGGAAGTTTCCAGGGGCCCTCACGCATCCAATACCATATATATTCGGGCTGTCGTTCCATCAAATGCCCTGAAATCCACGGTGCAGGGTGATAACTTTTTTCATTACCTGAATGGATAATGTAAGGCTAAGTAAGATTAAATGTATAAATTATGGGCCTGAAGGTACTAGTGCTAAGTTGTGCTGATACATTCCCGAATTGTTAAAAGATTGCTATTATTATTGCAGTTATATGCAAATTATTTTTCACAATTGCCTGAAATCGAGGTCAACTTCAAAAACTCATACATAATTAATGAGCTACTAGACCAATAGAATGAGCCTATTTGGTCACATGCATGGACCTTTATATCTGATAAAACACTCCTTATTAGTATTCTTTATATAAAGAACACTAATAAGGGTGACCTTTATCAGATATAAAGRTCCATGACCCTAGCAAAGGTCTCAGGTTTGAAACCTGATCATTGACCAATGCAGGATGTCAACTGATTTTCAGTGAACAGCCAAGAGCGGTTCTATTATACTTTATGCGTATTCAATGTGGGATGACAAGAGTGCTTTGTAAAGTGATTCACGCATGATTAGTTTGCCCCATTTATCTCTGAACATATTTGTACGGCAATTTCTCCAAGAATCATAACGGATTTGAGTTTCAAATTAGTGTTGGAGTTTTTGAAGCCGTTTAAAACACTCGGCTGGAATCTTTATACCTGATAAAACACTCTCTCTCGTGTTTTAAACTATACTTCAACACATTGTTAAAATTYATCTGCATAGAACACATATTACCAACCTGTAATTGATCCCCATGATCTCGAGCTTGCACTTGCAGATGTTGTTAGCTTTGCTCCTGAGATCCAAGGCATTCTTTTTGCGATGCCATAGCTGCTGTATTTCCAATTATCGAATTTCTTTATAAGTTTAATATTGGTTTGACCACTGTTTTTTGCTGTGAAAGTRTAAGAGCGATCTGCCTTCCAAATCCCTCCCCAACGATCTGTAGACGAAACCAAACATTACATTCTTGCACTGTTGAAGATTGCATATGGTTATCGTAAATAAAATTTGCAGAAGTAATGGTCGTTCACTGTTTTTATCTTAAAAGTTTAGAAATGACAATTACCTGGCCTTTGTGCCTCTAACCGATACTCAAATTCTCCACCAATAACGTTCAAATTATTCTTGATGGCATCAGCATGTTTTAATATTGAGTAGTCCCTAGTTAAGCTTGGTTTGTCAGCATTTCTTAGTTCAACATTATCTTTGGTCCAAGTATTAGTATGACTGGTAACCAATAGTGTCCATCCGCCACCATCACGTGTAAAGTCACAGTAAGCCTTKACTGGGGCATTGGAAAGACCTTGAGGGTAGATATCGTATATGCCGTCGGGGAAGACTTTTTTGTTGGTCTTTGTAATTAACTGCAGGTGTCGACAAGAAAGAACCTCTAGAATAATTTTAAAATCATGAGTATTATTTCCGATTAACTGAAACCGGTAAGCTTTGTGGGTATAGTGCAATATGTCACTACATACTATTGTTTTTTTTATTATTATCATTTGTCATTTGAGTATTTTTAAACGCCCTTTCAGTGCCGGATCCAGCACAAAGTGGGAGTGTAGTTTCGAAACTTCTTATTTACTCGGGTCCGAATTTGACTACTGAGAACTTTCATTCGGAAAATGTAGAATATTTTACGTCCTTTCATTTATACAATGAAAAATGTATTAAAAAAATCACTCGTCATGATTTTCGAAAGGAAGAGATTCGTTTTCAAGAGGCGTCTGAAGCTTAATTTACGTCATGCACCGTATACACAAGGCATTGTGGGACAATGATTTCTTTGATTTTCTCTAGAAACTAATCCCACAATACATTGAAAATCAAGTAGTGAGGTAAAAGGTTCAKAAGTCTATTGGAGCCGGAAAGTTTCTTCATTTTCTCAAACGTAATATCATGTGCTTTTCACTTAGTTTTCAGCAGAGTTTTCATTAAAGTATCTTCTTTTCATTTGCACGTTWCAATCGATTTGAAATGTTTGTGAAATGRATAAAAGGCGCGGATGTTTTTTCGATTTTAGAGAGAGCCGAGAGTCGATCCTGCCATATAAAGAAGACACACCAAAGCTAGGCATTTTGAAAGTGTTTTTGCCAACATCCAATATCTGCGGAGTTTTTTGAACATAACGATAGAGCGACTGTTTTTTCGTTTTTTTTAAAAAATCCGAATATTTACAACACAGTAGCATTGGCCAACTATGTTGTCTTGTTTGACTCTATCTCGCACGTTTGTATCCAAAATCTATTTATTTCAATTTCAGTTAAAATAAGAAAGAAACGTACTTGGGCAAGCATCTTTGTTGCAATCCTTTTCTTCTTGCAGTTTCCCTTCACAGTCTTTCCCGCCAAACTTTGGAAACGGATTATTACAAAATCGATGACGAGTTTGTTTACCACCATTACAGCCAGCAGAACAGATWGACCACTGAGACCAATTGCTAAAGCCACCGTCCTGAGCAGGAAGAGCTGTTGAGCAGAGATTTTGTTTAAAAGTATGAAAATATACAGCAATGCACGATGGAAATATTGACCATAGAGAAATACACAGAACGGAAACTCAATGGTTTCAATGGTATGATGATGTAGAATGATTTGCTTTTACCATGTTTTTCACAACGGGAAGTTAAAAGTTTTAATTACCTTTTTCGCATCCTGTTTTGGGGTCATAGTCCTCATAGCATTGACATTTGCCTTTGTTTGTACAGTACTGAAAGTGAACAACACTTAAMTTAATCAAATGCTATTCGTACTTTTCACTGAAAACTCAATAATGAGCTTAGCCAAAATTAAAGTGCAAGTGCTATGTAAAATTAAGCTCGTTAGAATGATCTAAACTACAGGAAACACTTAGAGAAATAATGATTATATCACTTGAAAAATACTTACTCCTTTTCCATTGCATGTCTTGTCATTGACGACTGGACACCCCTTGATGTTCAGGTCGTCAAATGATTTGCACCGAAATTTACTGCACATCTGCATATAGCGTGAAATATGTGGTAAATACATTTATGTGGAGTTTTCATGGATGTATTTTAAAAGCTAAAATATCTCTTGCGCCTAACTACCTTTTTATTGCCGCATTTAGTCCCATCTTTAACCATCCCAAGGCCAACGGAATCAGAGATTTTGAGAACTGCCGCACTATCGAGCAAGAATTACCTTAATTATCAACGGTGCATTTTCGAATATTCGAATTKTTACCAAATAATACACGTAGAATAGTKTTAATCGTGTTCCAAAATATAAAAAAAAATTGAATRAAATGGCGTTGATGTATTTTACATGAATCTCCTACCTGCATTGTAAAGAGCCATATGCAATTCTAGTGTAGCTTTTASCGTAATTGACCAGTGGTGTTTTTCCTTTTGACTGGCACTGAATCTGGCCACAAAGTACGTCTCTGAAGTAAATAGATAACAATGGAATTGAAAGCAATAACGTTTCGAAAAAGAAAATTCTATCAAAATGTAACAGATTTTGAATTTGATATGATTAATCAAAAAAATGTCTSAAGATTTAAAGACTGAGGATTCAATAGGCAAGGCTCTCAAAAACTGACCATTTAACCTCTAAAATTCTATTTCCTTCTTCCTTGCCGATTTCTTTYAATTTTAGTTAAATTGGTGTTTTCTAAATTAGCACTTGTTTTGAAATGATACTCACGCTGCGGCACAAGATGAATTAGAGAATGGGTTACATGTTCCATATCCTTTGGCCTCAGTGTTCAGCTTATCGTAACAGCCTTGCGCTGCATTATTGGTCTCTAAGTTATGGAACATAAAAGATTTCATCAAGACAAATTGATATTGAAACACAACTCAACTTGAAAATGAACTTTTTGTTATTATCAGTTTTTCCCATGTGAGTGATGTTTATAATTTAAGCTGTTTGGTCTGTCTGATTAAATAGTTTTTCATTACTGAAAAGAGAACTGCTTTATTGCCAYTATTATATTACACACAAAAAATATTACCTGGTCCCCAAAGATTTCTGCATTGTGTATCTAGTGTCTCGGCACACTTGCCAGAATAACAGTAAGACTGTAAAATTCAAAATCAATTCAACCATCAGTAATAKGAATATGTTATATAACACATTGAAAAACGTTTGAGATTTCTATTTATGCAGATTTGTATAATGCAATTCATAAAACTCGAATGACAGTTCTTTTCACAGCAGCTTCATATTGGGAACAAAACAAACTATTTTGTTCTCTTGTGAAGACTTTTTTTAGGTGAAAACGCCACTTAAAGTACGTCTTATTAACGCCAGATTTTTGTCGGGGATTGATAAAAGTATATAATGTGATTGGTATAAATTGATATAATAAATCAAGTAACTAAATGAGAATAATTACGTTTGAATGCAACGCATCTCCACTCTCTGTGTAACCAGTCCAACGGACACCATCTTGACTGTACAACAGATAATAGGCAGTGACCCAGWAGTACCAGCTTTGGCGTCCTTGGGTCAGAACATGSGTGATTGTCTGAGTCTGAACAAGAGATTTTCTAGTAATCAATTGACCAATGGTCTAATCAAATTTAATGAAAATCGAATGGATAGAAAATATACACAAGTCTTTTAACTATAAGTCTTTTAACTATAGATCTCTAATATAAAAAGTGGCAATTTCTAATATAAATGATAAAAGCAATAAACACTGTTCATTAAATCTAAAAGCTAMCAAAAATACGATTGATTTATTTTAACATTCTGTTACTTCACTAATCTTAAGCTCCATTCCATTTCTATCATCTAATTCACRCTAGTCGGCAAACGATTCCCTCATCATCATCATCTTGAAAGCTGGCATGTATGTCTTTATCTATCGCTGCASCATAAACCTTGCAGTATTTCAAGTCTATCTTTGTGCAGCTCTACCTTTCCTAAATCAATCTGCAAATATTCGGTCTTCTTCTTCTTGGCGGCACACCAGTACTTTTTACCATATAGTCTTGCATAACTCGGCAATTCTTTTCCTCTCGTGGAAGATGCTGTCATTTGTTTGTCAGGAATTGCTCCACTTCTGATTCCAAGAGGAACTATGCAGTCTAACAATGAAGAATTTTGTTGTAAATGGTTTCTACTTCCATAGTAAAAATCGTGTCAATGCTTCCAAAGCGTTTAAAGCTCGATAATCATTAATTTGTAGAACCATTAAAGAAATATATGAATATAAAGTGAAATATTTATAATGAAAAATCAAGGTTTAACTGTTTTTTAAGCCATGTMATTTTATGTAAACATGTATTATACTTAAGAATAAAAAAACTGGGGGAGGCAAGTAATCATACTAATTCTGTGCTAATTGATRAAAAATTCAATATTCAATAATTAATGTATGAAATATGAAATGCATGGTAAATTCACTGAAAACTACCAATATATGCTTACCAGGMTTCATAAAGTTTATCTCAAGTCTTSTTAGATCACATCCGCTCCACAACACCAATTCTCTACCATTACCAGGCCAACCTCCACTAGGATGGACGCACTTTCCACTCTTAACATGTTTAAGGGAATTCTCTAAAAAAGGACAATTTAAASAAATTTMAAATTTCAATCGACTTCAATATTGCTTTTTCTCGATTTTCATCTGCTAAAGAATTCAATAAAAGTTTTTAGATAATTYATTTTCAATGATACTTTCTGATCTGATCTGTTTTTCTCTTACTCGATGTTCTGACGAATTTTGAGTCTTCATCTTTACAGCTGCTACTGATTACCAGTTTTACGCCATTCCCAGTGGCTCCATTTTCTGGACAAACACGATGTTGACTGCATTCATGCCATAAGATTCCATTGGAGTCCAGTTTGAATTCCATGTATTTTTCCTTGCATTCATAACCAGACTTGAACGCAATCCTACTGTTCTCACTAAKCTTACATGTTTCATTCTTTGGGACGATGCAATAATCATTGTATGCTTTTAATGGTGTTGGCATTGCTGGGTTCACTACAAGGGAAAATTTAAAAACATCAGTATACACTTAATTACACAAACGTTGTCCAAGAAAACAGAACTTTTACTATTTAGGAATTAATTAAAATACAAAAGAAAGTGTTCGGCTTCAGTGGTCATGTTTTGTCTTTTAATGTATTCCTAATTTCCTAAATCCCTAAATCTCAGGACAACGTTTTCGTAATTAGTTGTACACATGGATTTATGAAAAAAATGTCAATAAACAAAGTAGCCTCAATTACGGTGAAGGTGTGTCCAGCTGCAATTGCTCTTTTGTGCTTCCATCTGCTATGAAGTATGTTTGTCGTGACGTGGGACTTCAGGATGAGTTTGCAAGACTTGAATAGTCGAAGAAATGCCTTATGGAAAATTACGTTACACCAAAATATTCAATTTTTGTAATGCTAATTTTTTTTAATGCTAAGGATTATGGTCGCAAGGGAAAAAGAATATTGACTTATTGGATACTTTTATGCTTAATATAGAAAGAATATAAATCAACATTTTCTGTTTCTGAGAGGTTATTCCCATAGTAAACATTCTGAGACGTCCTTAAGCAATATGGCAGAGCAAGTGCATATATGACCAATTAAGTGGACGTGGGCCACTACGAGCTTTAAAAAATATTACAAATATAAATAGAAGAAAAAAGAAAACAATATCATATAAATATAATCTTATTGATAGATTTTAAGAATATGTATGAAAAAGCAGAAAAGAGAGSAAGTTTTGATAAGTAATCAAGTCGTCCCTACCTTCATCAGCAGGGCATCCAAGTAGTTCAGTTCTCATACAGTTCCACCCCCTCCAATATTGAGGGTTGATACGTACATATCGGGCCTCAATGTGAGGAGACAACTTATTTTTAACTACGGACCAGCGGTTCGTATTTGCTATGATTAACTGTTGAGCAACAAGTAAATTGAAATTATCATCATTACATGAAAGGATACCTAAAATAATAGTTAAATTTTGAAAACATAATRCGCAGAACTTCACCAAGTGACTTAATCGATCAAATCTCACTTAAGGTAATTATACCTCAAGCTTTTATATAAATGTCACATTTCTGAAGGATAACATTAACTTATTTAACGGTCACACCCAAAGCTAAGACCAAATGACTGAACATAGGAAGGCAAATGGTATGATGTGCATAGTAACATTTGAGGTCCGYTAAGGACAAAAGCTATGAAGAGCTTAGCTTGTTTCTCTTGTTTATTGATTGCATGCTTCTTGATTCACATGCATGAAGACAAGCAAGCAGATGGAAGGTTATTTTTTCAACCGGCGTACACTAACCTTATTGGTTCTGTTACATGGTATACCATCTTGCATAGTTGTATCCGCAGGACACTGAAATGAATACAAGAACTATTAATGAAGAGCAGACAAGCAWAAGAGCAAAAAGTGTCSCTTTAAGAAAGTGAGTAAGGGGTCTAATATTCATTGCAATCTATGTTCAGACAGTCCATATTTATTGCAATACTCACATCTCTAGAGTCTCCAGGACAGTATTCAGGAACATCACAGTCGGTCTTCACTGCTCTGCATAGTGTGCCTTCCTTCTTATACTAATAATGATAACAATACTTCATACAGCCTTTTGCACAAATTATGAGACATTTTTATATATATAAACATACCTAACCAAATATCAAAAACACCCCAGAAATTATGGTATATCTCTATTATATTTTGTCATGATTGCCTAGCATCAGGTTGTTACAGACAAAATATCAGCTACGGTATCCCATAATTTCTTGGGTGTTTTTGATATTTGGTTAGGTATATTTATATATATAAAAATGTCTCATAATTTGTGCAAAAGGCTGTATTAAATATTATATAAATATATATCTATATATATACTAGTGTTCATTGTAGCCTGATGATTGTGTAACATGAAACTTATAGTCGCTACCCGCGTCATGTGTCTTTGATTCCGTTAAACTCATACGTATATACTAGTGATGTAGACTGGCTAGTTGATCAAGAGTCGCAACGCGATTCTCATATCCATTAAGATAAATGTTTCGAATCTAATGCGTCGCCATCCTAATGAAAAGTATACAACGTTATTTCCATTGGCTATTTCAAAAACATTGCAAGGCAGTCAACAAGAATGCGTGCACGTAAAAAAAGGACATGACAATAGAAAATAATTCAGATATCTCACCTGACAATCTTTGCAGCATGAATGATGTAAATCGCTACATACAGCCGAGGGTCTGAGCTGACACTTAAAAGGCAGACAACACGGATCTTTCTTTTTACACATCTGAAACAGTTGCAAACATCATTCAGAAACGTTAGCATAGTTATAGGAACTTTAAAGTCGATTTTGCTTCAATCTGAATAGACTAGTTTAATAATCTTGTGTTGCTAGTTAGCACTTTCATAGAAAACGAATGCATTTGAAAATATTACTCCATCGTTAGTCTACAGCCATGAATGTTAAGGATAAAAGATGAATGCAAAATTTCTCATTTATGCTCAACTTCTACGGTTTTTGCATTTTATTATCTAATATATGTATTGATCAATAAACTCCATATTAATGAAATACTTTTCAGGCAAAACCATAACTCACCTCAGGTGTACCACAGTCACATTCCTCGTCTCCTTCCCTGATACCATTTCCACATCTAGAATTGAGAGCCTGAAATGAGAGGTAAAAATATTTTTTGTTGTTGGTTAAGTGCGTGTGTAGTTAGATTTTCCATGGGCCCTGGACACCCTCTTCCAAATAAACTACTCGGTCCTCCACATTGGATCGCATGGCTGATCTACATTAAGCATGAAAACCATCATGGCGGTCATCAAGAGTAAACCTAAAAGCCTCAAAAAATGATATTTTAGGAAACCTCGTGGCAAATCCTGTAAGCAAAACATCTCGAACGATTATTCGGATCTTTGTACCTGTGTTGGCACATTGTACAAGCATTTGTCATTTGTCCTCTTCAAACTGTTCAAGTTGCAGTCAGAGAAGCCAGGGACACGGGTTCTGGAAAGAACCAACAGTACTTTTAACAGCAAGGCTTCACTAAATCACTTCTTCCTCGACAGTAAACGGTTAAGGATAACTCTAAAGACAGCATACTAGAAATGGATTATGGTATATAAGTTATAAAACTTCATAAGTGTTTAATTCCCTTATATCAATTGCCTTATATTGGATACGTATACATACTTGTGGCCTCCCATGAAGCACCCTTTCCGAGTTAAGCACTTGCACGATCCTAACGTGAAAAACAAATTAGCAATGGATGCATCAGAATAAAACCAATAGGAATACAGTAATTTCAGTCAATAACTGCAATAAGGAGCAATTCAGGATGAAAAGATAATACACTTAAAAACTTATCAGCAGATACAACGCTATCCTTAATTACTTATCGCTTCTCTTCAAGGATTTGTCAGAAGATAATCCAGATGGATGTTTTTATCATAAGAACAATACTCTCAGACTCTCGAATTATCTCATATTTTCATGACCGGTATATTTAATTACTAGTAAAAAAGAACATACCTGTGTTATGTCCAAAGCCAAAGTTATGACCCATTTCATGAGCAACTACTACCAAAGGACCTGTTATTCCTCSAAATGACCACTTTAGAGTGAATGRTTCAAAGAAAAAAGAATTAAAAAAAGAAAGAAAGTAAGTAAAATTATAAATCATAATGAACTTCAACTTTTCTTAACAACTGCTTAAGTTAGAAGTCTTGCATTCAATATAGAYTTCCATTCAACCAATCGTCGATCATCTAGTAATTCATTCATCAAGCTGCTAATTTAACTGTCTATTGATCAATCAAAAATATCTACATATGTCTACTATGCGTCGTCAGGATCCCACTGCAAGTTAYATACGCGTGCATTGGGTATGACAACGACGTTTTCTTAGATCTATCTAATTTTAGATTTTTTCCACGAATTTATGCAGTCACCTCCGGTATTGCGCTCCAATATAATACAATTAAGCAAGTGTGGCGGATGGTAGTGGGAGCGAATTTTCTTTTAGTCTTTCTGAAGTAAACGGTAGTGAGGAGTTTTCTAGTGAAGAGACGATTAAACAAAGATCTAAAAACAGACACGTTATAAAAACGCCGCGAAAGTSCTAAATATGGACTCTCCTTCAMGTATTTGGCTCATGTTGCAGTCTCTTTATRAAAGACCAYCGTTWTTGCTGAACAGTTCATTAAAGCTACATTTAATTCAACGGAAAGCTCTATTTTTACAGTTCGCCCCTAAGAAGAAGAAAGATTCAAAATCTTTTTTGTTCTCTCCTTTCCTTGTAATGAAAAAACAGAGGAGCTTTGCTCTCTATAACCTAGGGCATCCCATCTCATATAAATAGGGGGTCCACGAATACCYCAGTCTCGAGGTCTTATTTGTGCTGTCTTARCGTCGAAAGCATGTARTATATTCTTTTATTCGGCAGAGAATCTATTATAATGCAAACACTCTGTGCACAAAGAAGACAATAAACAATTTATGCTTGATTGAAGCTAATCTTTTACAAAAGAGAATTCGAAACTGRAGTATTCGTCCACGGTAGTTTCGCACGTGCAAATCATATGTCAAGCATCAAAATCAAATATCTACTTAACAACTGTTGGCTTAACAATGACAATAGTATACCGTATTGATAGAGGATGAGAGTGAACCACATATCGTTCCAACCCAGGCCATTCCGGCTATATTACCCCAACCATGATGACTAAGGAACTGYGCATTATCGTGAGGGATTTTACCAATCAGGTTTTTCTTACGATAGCTTCCAAATTCACCAAGCTCTGCTCCACCAGTTTTTTTGCGWGTCATTCGATCGCCATTTGACCAGATTTCAATGGCAGAAAAGACGATTCGTACATTGATTCTTTGATACACCTATTAACGCAACAAGTTTGTCCAGTTAACAAAACATCATCTCAAATGGTCCAATCACCCTCTTCGTGGTTGCGTGTAAGACATTTGGTTTTGCACTAAAGCTAGACAGAATCGCCCATGTCTATTGCAATGGCATCATGCAACTACCTTCGTAGTCACAACGCATACACTCTAAATAGCTGACTGGTCAGTTTGAAAATAAAGGAATCCATACAAATTGYATACAGAAAATATTTCTCTAGAGAAACATATTTTACCGCGTCAACAGCATTGGCCAAAGTAGCAACTTTCTCTGTAACAGTCTTTGAGTCATTTTTGTATCTTTGGTACTGAATTGAATGATAACAAAAATCATAAGAAAATTAACTTTAAAAGCTACATCGTCCTCAGAGCGTTTTCCAGAGTATTAACTCCTTGATGACGTAGAATGAGAGGRAAAATGGARAAATRAATAAATGAAAAGGGAATCCCGTCTTACCACACCGTTGTCAACCACAAACATWACTTCGTTATATCGGGTCTCATCTGTTGTTAGGTATGGCCGATAAACTTCTTCCATGTTTACCACATGACCAAGATCACGACGCAACTGTCAATCAAACCACAATACTGTTGGTGCTGATAACAATGAAGATCAATTAATACCTAATCTATAACTTATACTTACTCTGTCAATTGTCTTTTTTATTTTGGATTCTTTGGATRTCGAATCAAATGATTGTTCGCCATTCTGTGTTCCTAAAGTATTAAGCAATTYGACTGTTCATATTATTAGTTTAATGATTGACAAATGACATATATTTAGCAATTGTCCCGACTCGGTCTAGATTTTAATTCCTTTCTGAGCCACGTGCTCGGTTAATAGGGCCTAAAGAATACTTACCGCAGTGCTGGTGAGAATCAAACTGTTCCTCATCTTTTGCAGCATATATTTTGTGTGCACCAGTATCCTAAATTGCGTAAAATCAAAATATTTGACTTTAGATATTTTGGTTAAGTAACCTGCACAAAAGAATTGCAACGACGAG